TGATATGACTATGAACTGTCATTTTTGAACTTGTTTATGAACGGGCGAGTGTGTACTTTATCGCACTTGACCTTACTGAATTGTTATTACAAAAAGTGAACGTGATATGATATTAATAATACGTGAGGGTCCCAAAACCCAATGGCTAGTTATTCGAGGTTGAGCCGGCAAGGGCTTGGTCAACTCGATTAGCGAACCTTGGGTAGTGTATATATGTGTTGGATCCATACTGTTCTGGGTATACTCAAATAATACCAATCACTGAAAGTTTGTTGGTATGCGGGCCCGGTAGGGGGTGAAAGGTGGACGGAGTGGCGTGAAGTGGTGATTCTACATGGACATGAAAGTTGACAGAGTGTCAACTACTTGAATTACTGATTGATCGAGTGTTTGCCAGTGCTCAGTATTCTTAATGATTGACGTATTGATTTTAATGATGTGCTTATATGATACCTCTTGTTATGTTTCTTACTGACTTAAAAATGTGAAATTATTGCTTTCTTAAATTGCATGTCTTTTTTAGACCTCACTAGGCGCAAGGTCATACCTTTTCTTTTGTTTTCCTTAGCAGGGTTGGTTCATGATTCGGGGAATTAGCACTTAACTTTTGTTTTGGTTAGACTAAGTGATTAGGGTACTATATTGTTTTGAATGTGAATTGTAAGTTTAAACTCTCTTTTGTATTTTAAGTTGCTTTGACAGAATGTGTTAGTTGTATTTAGCGTATTTGTGGTAAGATTGGATATTGAATTTGATTTTGTGGTTTGTTAACGAGTCCTGATGAGAGTTTGGCAGACGACCCGCTGATACCTTAGGATACACCCTTGAGAGAGGTGGGGTCGTCACAAAATAGACTTTGAGTAAATTTTGTATACATTGATAATTTGTACACTGTCACCATTGAATCCATAACACGCATATAAAAATTGAATTTCAAAGTTAAATTTTGTATAGTTGTCATTCATCCAATGCTAATAGTGTATACATTATTAATGTATAAAAGATTAATCCATAGACTTTGTACAAGTTAGTTGGAGGAAAGCAATTTTTCCTTTGGACATTTATTTGGGTAAGAAACTTACCACGACAAATGTCAAGCTACTTACAAGTTGAACAGGACTTAGCAATAAATATTCCATCAAAAAACCATCTACTGCTTAAATCATCAATGATAACGATCTTACTAGTTTTTCTCTTTTAATGGTTTCACTAAAGACGGCAGTTTTTATTGCAAAACTAAAATTAAAGAATTAGATAAAATAAAGTTTGAAACTCTATCACCTGTTCAAATGCCCCAATATAATCATGCAATGATAGAGAGTCATACACTGATGCAAAACTCTATTTCCCTTTAAAGCCACTTCACTTGTTGAAAAAATATACGGTAGAATTTGTAGTGTGGTACAAAATGAACTTACAAAAAATTATTCAAAGCACCAGAAGCTGCAGAGCAATAATATTATTTCATACACCACAAAAGGCTGCTATACCAATTCAAGTGCTCAATTGGATTGGTGTCTTAACAATTAAATCTGAGATATTACTTAATGATGCAAATATCTAATTTTATAATAAAGTACATCAATTGGCCCTTTGCACTTGGATATGGAAACATTTACCAGTATTGAAGGTGAAACAACTGATTTTAAACTAATTTTTCTTTTATGTCTTTTGGGGTAGTAGATATGTTTTTTCATTGTAGTTGTTTTATATATGATTGTCTTTCAAATTTTAACAAAGCTTCAATGATGTTTGCCTAAACAAAGTTCCTCAAATTACAAAAATGAACTTGTACTGTAATGATCCTATGATTTAGTCGACTAACTTGACACCAGAAATTCCCAAATACCAAAAATCATGAGTATAACCTAATATTTGAAACAATAAAAAAGTGGACTTTATTAGAATAATAGTGGTGCTCAGCAGGGAAAACCAAACAAAAACATATTCATTAAACCATGTTTTGACATGAAACGAAAGGAAAATTCAACCTTAACTACAGTAACCACTCAAAGAAAAGCAAAAACTAATACTACCTACTACTTTGTACTTTCAAGTCTCCATACTTACATGTAAAAACAAAGACCACTAGTCTAACTATCCAATATTGGTTGCATAACAACTAGGAGTATCAATCACTTCACACTTCAACAAAAACCACATAATATTTTATGGTAAAACAAGTACAATATCAATCCCTCAACACTTAAATAAAAATCACAGAGATCAATGTCCAAAAAATGCTTGTGAACCAATTAGAAGGCGGTGGCTAAACAATTAGATTTAATAATATTGACCAATGGTGTAATTGTCTGACCACTTGTAAACAAAGACTTAAATATAGAAAACCATTGGTGTGAATATATAATAACTACAGTGAATCGACCAGAATCAGGTTAATCAAGCTTCTGTCCCTATAAATTACAAAATAAACAACAAATTATTTGCAATAAGCTAATTCATTACAAACCCATGGCATTTATTATTTTGTTATCATTCACATTATATATATATATATATATATATATAATTACACCAACACAGCTTCTAACGGTTTCCTTAACAAGACCCAGCAAAACCATAAATTCTTTATTTGTGGATAAAAAATTAAACAAGACTTAATCTACTACTCAGATTTGAATTAATACAATATTGGGGTTTTTACTCTCTTATTACAACGCCATTCAAGATTGTGAATTTTTTCCACAAACATAGGAAAATAACCATGTAATATTGATCCAATTGCAATTGCAATAAACAAGAAGGCAAAACTACTGATATTGTAAAAAAATCCAAACACGTATCTCAAGATGTGATAGTAATGAAGCCAATTTTCCTCAATTTCTTTAACCCACGATCTAAGTCTTAACTAGGTCAATGGGTTTTTTTGGTGTATAATTTCTCTCTCCATTGGGTTCCTACAGAGTTGAGAATTGAAATCCTCAAATTAATTTTGTTTATCGGTAGAACCTGATCTCCAAAAACTTTTAAACTAAGAAGAATAGAGGACAAAAGAACAAGTCCCTTGTTTTGCTTTAATTGAGATCTCCTCTTTTGGTATATCTGACAGTTCCTCCAAACAAGATCATCTCTTTCAGTCTCATCTTTCAGTTTTCTTTTTTTCCTTATAATGACATCACTTTCTTGTGGATTAGTATTTAATGTCTGATTCTTGTGGATTAGTATTCAATGTCACATTCCCATTTTAAAATCTAGACCATGAAATTGTACAAAATAAAAAGAACAAAAGAAGAAACCCCTTGTTTTGCTCTAATTGAAATCTCCCCCTTTTGTATATTTGACGATTCCTCCAAACAAAATCATCTCTTTCAATTTCATCTTTCAACTTTTTTTTCCCTCATAACGACGACACTTTCTTGCATAGTTATTAAACCAGCCCGGAGAGGAACCCGGTGAAAGAGGTGGGTCAACGTGTTACTGGTTCAACCAGTGGGTGAGTGGTCTAACCGGTGGGTCACTACATATATTTAAATATTATGTTTTATAATTTTTGATATAGTTAAAACTATAATAAACTATGTTATAGTAAATACTCAATTAGCCCAATTTATTATAGAATCATTAATTCTTATAAGAACTAACAAAACCTAAATTTGATTAGTAATCCACCAAACTTCAAGTATAAAATTTTATCTAAGTGTAATTATCTAGTTTATTTACGAATTTTAAGTGCAAAAGGTTATTAAGAATAATATTTATTTTTAAAATGAATTGTGTAATATGTTATTTTTTAAATCCATTTCATAATTTATAGAATTTAGGGAATAATAAAATTTTATTAAAAGATTCCAAACAAATTTTGTTTTGAAGAAATAAAATAAGAATAAAAATCTAATATATAATATAGAAGGAGTAAATAAGCACTAAGTGAGTTGTTGGACTAGTGGTGAATGCGCTTAACCTTTATACTTGAGGTTTGAGGTTCAAAACAACATTGGAACATCTTCTAATCATTTTTATTCCAAAACCGGGTTCCTTACAAAACTGTCCGGTTCAACCGGTTGAGGTCTGAGGTTCAAATCAACATTGGAACATCTTCTAATCATTTTTATCCCAAAACCGGGTTCCTTACAAAACCATCCCCGAGTTTCTTACAAAATCGTCCGGTTCAACCGGTTGAACCACTGGTCCGTTGAAAAGTCAACGAATTTCTTGCACAAACGATCCAATTACAAACCCAACCCGATTTTATGGCCGGTTCACCGGGTTGACCGGTTGAACCGTCAGACCAGACCGGGTTTAATAACTATGCTTTCTTGTGAATTATTGTTCAATGTCCGATTCCCATTTTTTAATCTAGACCATGCAATTGTACAAAATAAAAAGTGGGCCCAATTGTGAGGCCCCAATCTTGATTAATGGTCCAAAAAAAAAAGTAAAACATGAATAGTAATTTTGTTAATAAGTAGAAAGGAATAGCTTGTAGGTTTAAGAATATCGAAGATAGCTGAAACTCTCAGTCGTTAAAATAAGGACTCTTTACTTCAACAGCTAAACATGATAGTTGCACAACCAAATATTGCCCTAGATTGAGAACTGCCCACAAAATACAGCTAATCATAATAGAGCTGCACAACCTAGCAGTGCCCAAAATTGAGAAATGCCGACAAACACAGCTGAACATAATAGAGCTGCACGACCTAGTATTGCCCTAGATTGAGATATGCCCACCAAATGCAAAATGAAGGACATGATTGATGCATGTGGACGAGGCCTCAACTTTCAACCAATTATTTTTGTAGGGAGCAATTAATGGGGATTTTTTTTTTTTTTCCCACAACATAGTCACAAGGAAATAAATATTTAATGCAAAGGGTGTGATGTTCATAGTTGGCGGGGAAAAATCAATTTTAATTAATGATCTGCAAAAGTGACTTTCCAACTTGCTAACCGTTATAGATTTGTGATTCTCTGAGTCAGAAGTATAAGCTGTTTGCTGGTTTCAAATAAAGCACTTAGTAATAGAAAGCAACAATCGGTGGACTCAATACTACGAAATCAGTACTACTTCCAAAGAACCATGCATTTTAGTTACTCTCCACCAGGCATCAGTATTCATCCCCATCAAAGCACTTCAACCCAAAAATAAAAGTACACAAAGTTATGATCTTCAAATGGAAAAGAATCCCAGATCCCAACTAGGGTAAACTTGTCAACAAACAAACGAGCAACAGTGAACTATACAATGAAGGGGAATTTCATGTATGAACTTGAAGGCAGCAAAACTAAAACCGATTGCCCGAACCTTCCAGTGCTGTTGAGATATACAAAATATTCAGCTCTATAACAAGGCATATTCTTAACAGAATGTCACCACCATCAAGATACCTTGCTTGCAGGAATCTTGTCTCTCCTTTCTACATAGGCTGAAGGAAACCATCCAGCCTCGCCCTTGCATTCTCCTTCGGACCATCCATTAGGAGCCACCTGTTAAAAGGCACATAGCCATGGAATGCTTAAAAGGAACCAGTAGCTTGCATTTCCAATTTGATAAGATTAGATTGATCAGCTTCCAAGTAAAGTTTTAATTGCTAACTTGAAGTTCATAACAGCAAAAATCTCACTGTCAAGTAGCAAAAGAAAACATATGGCTATAAATATGCAAAATTTCAACATAGAAGTCCATGGAAGCAACCAATCAATTCTCTCATCATATTCAAAAGGCCTGACAAGTCATACTCTTTCAAAAGTTTGTCTTTCAAAGGTTTGTCTTCAAACCTTAACTAACCAATTTATTTTAAGGCCTCCAGGGTGAAGGAGCTTAGCTACTGTTACAGAACAAAGTTTGTTACCAGTAGATATATTATTAAGACTTTATGTGGTGCTAAAGTTCCTAAGAATGGTTACCAAAAGTAATCCTCTGTGTGTGTGTGTGCAAGTGTGTGTTGGAGTTTGTTTCCATGTACAAATTCTTTCCTACAAAAGATCTGCTTCATGAATCTTCCATTTAACTTCACTACCACCATCTCTAGTTCTTTACTTTTTCTTGAACAAGATAGAGCTATATTAAAGAATGATACATGCAATGTTATGTCAATCCTTAGACAAGTGGAGTCATCAGCTGATTAAACATCAACGAATGATCCATTACTTCTGAAAGCCCATTCAACATTTACTGCCATTCAGAGATACATTAACATTAACAGTTAAAAGAAGGATATGATCTCATATTCCAATTGGTAAAAGGGTCCTCTCAATTTGAGGTTGCATATGAAGACTTGAGCCAAAGGAATTAAGCTATTCGTATTCCAGTGGGGTGGCAATGACAATCTTTTCCCTGATTGGGGCATACAAAAGAAATTAAGTATAATGCTCCTTTATCAATGAACTTTAAAGCTTTCTCTTAGTAATGTCATAAATAGAACTTGCTTGGACTCCTCAAATAACTGGCAAGGTAAAGAATGAACTGCTTGAAAAGGCAAGTGAAAGCTATTTCCTTCAAACTACAAACAGAGTTCATCCCCAATTCATCCAATTAACGCAAGATAACAGATAAAATAACATACTAGTTCATTGCATCTTCTGTCTACTTGAAACATTAAGAAATAAAACCAAAATCTCATTAAGGCTTGTACCAACAACTCTTTATTATTCGAGTGATAGAATTCTGGTAGCAGATAGATTAGGCAAACAATCCCATGTGATGTTAATCAAGAATTTTAAAGCATTAATGATGGAAGATACTAGATAAATGCATGTTCAAGCAAGGTATTGCTGCAAAATCACTTAAAAGGTAACTCTACAATGAATAAAGGCATGTTGCTTCAAATTGTAAAACTTGTTTTATTTCTTTCCGCAGCATTATCCTCAACATTTCAGACTTCTAAATCAATGAGTTCATGACCTTTATCAAATTTCTTGCATGAACATATGGAGAGCTGAGAGTTGCTACATAAAACAGCAGAATGATGTCGCAAAGTCAAACCATAAACTTCAACGTTTAAGATTAGCACAACCTCAACATAGGAGAATCACAACTGACCAAAAAAATCCTCATGGATATAAAATATGAGGCATAAGAAAAGCAATTTACAAATATTTTACTTCAAGAACACAAGGTTTACATGGATGATAATGAAAAGAATAAAGGCGATTAATTTAACAACTCTAGTCTTAGTGTATCTGAAAAAGCAATAGAGCTTTGGTGCTCATGACAATACAATCTGTCTATTAGTAGTAGAAGAAAATCATGCTTCTTTGTGATGGGCTGAAAAAACTTGAAGAAACATACCATGTCAAGAAAGCTTCTAGAAAACCAGATAGTTAATTAGTATTTGAATCTATTGCTTTCCATAATGTTTTGTGAAGAAGTTTCTCTATTGCTTTCCATAATGTTTTGTGAAGAAGTTTCTCTATTGCTTTCCATAATGTTTTGTGAACAATACACGAGTATTGAAACCACCATCCCAAGGACATTGCTGAACGGAGGAATTCCAACTACTACTTGTTAATGTACTTGACTATATAGAGTAGATTAACATTTGAGATGTCCAACCATGAGAATCCACAATCAACTAAAAGAGTTGCAGCATAGCTTGTGTCATATGTGCAACTCAAAGCATAATCTTCAAGAATCAATTTTGACGCCTGCTGTCTTATTTTGAAGGTTGATTCAGACATAGCACTAGAGGTTTTGGATTCATGTCTTTTTACCACTATCACTGTATCACAAACAATTTTTATTTGTTCCCCCCTCCTCCCCCAACCTGCCCACCACCCCTCTCCTGCAATGCCACCACCCCTTCCCCTCGCACCTGCAGCTCCTCTGCACCCCATGAAACAAACCTTTTTAAAGGTTTACTAGATTGACCCCATGGAGAAAATTGCAAAATAATGGCAACTTCCCTGCAGGATATTATGAACCTTAGCAAAGTGGAACATTAAAAGATACGTAAATGCATAGAATAAGATTTTCTGAATCCAAGTCATGAACACAACACCTTGCATGCAGAAAAAGATCAGTAAAAAGATTTTAAGATTTCTGTGAGCTTGTACAGTAGTGTTCTCATTCACATGGTAAGCAGCTTTGAGCCTTGACACTGTTTACGAGATTTTGTGAACTAGTAATGATGCTTTTTTTTTTTCCAGGTAGTCTATTCTTCCTTCTTTCCACATGTGAGCTTGAAGAATTCTTCTTTTACTGCTCCCTCCCACCCTCCCATAAAAATAAAAAAAAAATTATGGAGTTTGTGCTTGTACCGTGCAAAGATGGTGAGTTATTTATATCTCATTCCCTTATTTACCCTTAACTGGATCAGTTGAAATTTGAGTTTGCTAATGTTATCTACCTGATAGGACCCAAGTGCATTGCAACTTTTCTAGATCTCATCCAAATATTAGTCATGGCCCATCGTTCTAAACAAATTAACAGGAAAGCAAGAGGGTATCTTGAGAAAATTGTGAAAATTTCTTTGCCAAGAATAGTGACATGTATTTTGGGACAGCCACACTGACGGAGCATAAATTTTTCCAGAAGGCAGATTGACTTGTGTAGTTCATCAACTTTTACTATGACTATAATCCTTATCTGTGGTCACTCTCTTTGCTAGGTTGGTTTTAAAGAATTACACGAAAACCTCAATTGCAGATGATTATGCACTTTTTATATGTTCGCGAGTTGAGACAGATGTTGCTTCAAGAATGACCAGGAAAATAACACAAAGTAGGAAAAGATCTAGTCAAGTTGATGAAACCAACAAGACTAGCAATATTGGGAAAGTAGAACAAGAAAAATTTATGAAAGGATTAATGCATTCCACGAATGTGGTACAAGTATATGATTGACCGGGAAGGTTACAAATTTTTCCTGGCATGGTGGTCTATGTCTACAGTGACTTAACTGGTAAATGAACCTTAAACAAGCAACAGAACATAAACAATAAGCTGAAGACCACTACAATGAGGATCAGGAGGAAAACAACATACTTGTCAGTTCCTTTATTAAATATTTTAGAAGTAATAACATTCTCACAAGGACTGTTGAATTTTTGCATTAAGTACAAAAATGACATTACTCTTTAATGCAACAAACTTGACACAAAGATAACTAACATCAAGAGGCTACACCAATACAAATTTGGCATTCCTCGTTAGTCATACAAAATAAAGGAAACTAGCACTCTCCTGGCAGACGGTCAGGTGCCCAATGTTTTTTGGAATCAAAAGCGCAATGCATGTGATGAAGATTGTGGAAACAAATCCTTAAGGAATTTTTTATTTGTTATTTATTTTGAGGGATCCTTATTGTTTATGTAATTGATTGTGAGAAAAACCAGCAAAGGTTAGAAAATTAATGCAAAAACTTGTTTGGTAGTCTTGTCTTGGAAAAGACAAACTATCAGAAAAACAAAAAGTAAATTGCACGTGTCTTTTAGAAACAAATCCTACTATAATCCAGTTTTGTATTTGTAAACAATGACTGGAGTTTTAATAAATTTTTTTATACTTGAAGCTATTTATATCTATATTGCTGCAAAAACCAATTTTTAAGTTTAACATTTTCTCAGAAGGAGGACAATAGAATTTGAGAAGGTATTTTAAGCATATGTACCTATAAACCAATCACAAACATGACATCAAGTTGAATTAATAAATTCTCCGACAAACATAATGAATGGTAGTAAGACAGAAGTATGAATAAATAATACCAAAAGAAATATGAATTCAACACGATCAAGCTTATAACAAGATTACTTTTCTGACTGAATGGGAAGAAGTAACATAACTACCTGCCTAACAACAACATAATCATCAACTGCAAGGCTAAGCTCGCCATCTGCTTGGGCATCAAAAGAGTGTATAACCTGCAGTGGTGACAGATTATACAACGCATAATGAAGAACAAAAAGAATATCAAAATTTCAAGAGGAGAAAGGAAAAATATGCCATATGCTTCCTTCAAAAATAAGAGAGGTCATACCTTTGCAATAAAGTATGCATCATCTTCAGACTTATTTATGGTATCTACATGTACAAATAGAGAACAGGAATCTTTCTGGCTAAATGATGAATGTAACGAAGACTCGTTCAGTTGCTCCTCCAGAATCATCTATCTCAAGACATAAATGGCAAAAATGAATACCATAAAATCCCTAAAAGTCCAGAAAAAGGTGCAAATAACTGAAATACATAGTAAAATCCAGAAGCCCCAAAGGGAACCTACACTTTTCCCACACATTTGACATTAGTGAAATTTACAGACCTCAGAATGCAGCTTCTCTAAAAGAGCAACAATGTTTTGATGATAAGATCTCTCAGCATCCACCTGTTAACTGAATTCATGTAAGATACCATAAGTATTGTCTATAAGTGATGAAATTAATATGGAAAAGAAGTCATTCTGTGCAATGAAAATTCTGTATAGGAGCAATGTCTAAAGAAAAACAGAAGTAAGTGTAATCTGCAGTAACAAAAGAACAAAGAAAAGACGGACCACCAGCTCACCAATATTACTTTCGGTTTGCATTTCACCATACAATAAATAGCTCAAATAGTCTTAAATCTGGCAAAAAAACCCACATAACCAGCACCTGAGTTGTAACATAATTAGGAAGTGGGCCAAAAGCATTCAAACCGTTTCAACCTATACTGCACCCATTCCTCCCCAGAAAGAGGAAAAATCAAATGAAGAGAAAAAAGGGAGTTTACGGATCAAAAGAAAGGGATTATGGTTAAAATCTAATTCAAAGTAAAAGCTTTCTCAGACTTTGTTTTCTATTATGTAGTAGAGATGAAATGGAAAATGTCTCTACTTTCTACACTTTGCTCATGAATTTAATTCTCCTGAATGTTTTCAAGTGTAATTCCTATCCTCTACAGACAACATGCACAAAAGATCAGAGAAGCTAGAGGAAGAAAGAAATAACATGGAATACTAGGCTGCAATAAACACACAACCAGAGCAGAGCTAATTTTTGTGTTCTTTTAAGTTGCCTGAATAAAAGTACAGCGGCTAACTATTTGGGCTCTGTAGCATAATTTTGCTCCACGTCCATGGATTATTCCAATTTCAAGACATTTTGACAATATGCTGAAAAGATTCACTAAAACAGCCATGTACAACATCATCTTTTACAATCATGACAATACTTAAAAACTGCTTAGCCGGAAAACCATGCCCTTTAGATTAACGCCACCTGGCCAACCAACTGCAGTAGAAAATTCTGAAAAAAAAAACAAGATGCATGATTAATTTATTCCCTTGTCTTTCTTGTATGCACACCAAATGCATTTTACAGATTCAATTATCCAAAAATATATTATGCCTGATCTATAAATAACTTCCACAGTCAATCACCCTCAAGGCATTAAAGAATAAATTAGATCATAAGAAAGCACAAATCTAGGAAGATACTGGCAAGGAAATGCAGGACAATACAAGAAAAAGAATGCCGCTGATATCAAATGCTCAACTGACTATGGATATCTATTTGTGAATCAAAGTTGAACAAACCAATGAAAGTAGCCAGCCTTGAGTAGTTATAATGAGATGAAATGTAACTAGAAAAAATAAAAGCATTGCCAAATTTATCAAAATAATTCCTTCAAAAACATTATCATTTTTACAGAAGTCCCTTGTGTCATATATACATACATGCACATGTATACACACGAGTGTGTACATACATTCATACACGCATACGTGTATCCATGCATGCATGGATACATCCATCAATATATAAGGTCGATTGTATGCTAATAATTCAAATGGATTGTATGCTAATAATTTCCAGTTCGTAGGGTACCCAATCCATGGAGAATTTGGCTCATAAAATAGCAGTATTTTCCTCTGGAGATTACAATACAGATACAGATAAATTAAGCCAAATTCTAAACTACCAACGGTTTGTCTATACCCCACCAACCCACTATCCAGTAAATGATAAAAATATTAATGCTCTGTATCTCTGCTTAAGATGGTGAATTATGAAGATATAGTGTACCCGGTTTTGACAAGACCATGGTTGTTGAAGAAAGATTCTTATGATTTTGATCATAAATGAATTTGGTTTAAAAGCTATACATTGCTGTGGCAAAAGATACATTTAAATAATCATAAACATAATATATATTTCTTTTGCAATTATGGTCCACTTAATGAAAAGCATGATTGAATGTGGAAATGTCTTGACTCGTGTGACAAAAAATCTTGCTTTCTAGGATTGACAATTGCTCTTTCAAGAACAAGTCCTTTTTATGTTAAATAATAATAGTAATTATAGATCAATTTCAAATTCAATGCAAAATTGTTCATCCAAAAAAAAAAAATTAAACCAAATATTGAATAGATTGTGAAGAGAAAAATGTTCTCCTTGTTGGGAAGTCAAAAATCACCATGAGAAGTAAACAGCCAAATGTGCATAAAATGTCAACTGGAAAAATTTGCAAACACTTGCTGTTAAGAAAATCTTAGGGACAGAGTTTCAATGTTGAATCCAAATGATTGTTCATTAATGTTATCATGCATAAGAAAGAGAACTTTAATTTCATCTATTTCACTATCAGTTTCATGTGACCAAAAGTTAATAACATATCTACTAAGCATACAGATTTCTAGTAACTCATAGGTCTCCGCTTCTAGAAGAAAGTTCATTACCTTCTGTGATAGCTAGGTTGCTTATGTAATCCTCTATCTTTCCTTATTTTACACTTGATGGGGATAGGGAAGAAACAGCAAAAGCAGAAAAGGAGAGAATCCACCCCCTCCAGATTATTTCACAAAATGCACATAGCTTATGCATGAACTATCAGAATTTGGCAAGACAAGATAAAATTTGTGTGTTTTGTTGTATTATACCACATCATTAACAGCTGAGGCAACATTACTTCTTCCAGATAATAAAGGGTAAAAGTTACACCTGACATGAACTTTTGAATAGCATTACCATGCTAAGAAGCTTTTGAAAAGTAAGTTGCTGTTGCTGATCCTCAACTGACAACATAGCGGAAATTGCTTCATTCCCAAGCACCAACATTGAAGATTTAAGCTCAGTCAACTTTGCTTCTGAACTTTTTAGCTTTATAACACTCTCTGCAGAAGAATCTTTACACTTTGATCTACGCCTTAATACATCAGCTGCCTATTTTTTTTTTGGTATGGAGGGGTCCGAGAAGAAACATAAAGGACAATGCATCAGCATATAACAAATTTCCAACAGTGTCTGACGTACTGACTCTTAAATTGGAGTACCTGGGCTTCAAACTCTTGCCGGACTCTGTCATAACGGTGAGTCAAGTGGCGAGCATCTTCTAATGGAGCACCAGCTATGGACACGCGCAGAGGTTCACAAACCTGAAGGTTGTGAAACAGAATTTTCAAAACTGATTGGAACGTAAAGTATGCAGAGGAGCTCAAAAACTAAAGTGCAGTTAACAAATACATGTATCAAGAGGTAACGTCGTTCACCTAACAGGAGTTCAACATAGAATCCTACGGGTAATCCCCACTTGAAACCTACCCTTCGTTAATTACAACCATATATCAATTGCATTGACTTCAGCGAGAACGAAAAGGAGCTGAAAATCAACACAAATCCACCTAATTCTTTTTCACCAAGAATCACATGCACAGATACTATAGTTAAAATTTCTGTTCCTCTTTCTTCCTTCCTTCTCTAATCCTCATTTTCAGCGCAACGATCTGGAACTATCTTCCATCTCCTAAAATCTCTAAAAACTGAAGTTCTGAAATTGAATCTTATCCACCAGACTTCCTGGTGCAGCAACACTTTCATTATTAATGATCTCCAGTTTCACTTTCCCAATCAGCAGAAGGGGGTGATAAAAAAATCTCCACTCTTCCTACTTTCACTTACAGAACTGTGGTGCCAAACATGTACTGAAAGTTACTTGAATAAGATGTACAAGCAGACAAACAAAAGAAAAAGAAGGGCCGAAAAATGAAATGTGTTGATCACAACCAAGAAAAACTAAAATCTATATCATACCAACACTTACAACCAAGGATATAACGGGCATCCTGGCACTTTTAACAGTTTCTGTGAGAAAAAGACAAAGATAAGCAAATAAAAGTTCAGTTCAACTCCATACAAAATCTTTTTAGGAGTCAATTCAAGTCACTGATTTTCCTTCTAGTTCACAAAAATTCAGTTTTCTCAAGTTGACGAATCAAGAATTTCAATCAGGTCTTTAGATGCAGCTATCAGGATGAAGTTTATACGAAAGCTATACCATCAAACTTGAATGTTAGGCTTCAACCTGAAAGCACAATCTCTCAGTGGATAAATATATCATCCTTGTCCTTGACACAGCTTTAGTAAGCCACGATGCCTTTGGTTCCAGAAAAGCAAAAAAATCTGATTAGAGCTCTTTTATAGAAATTCAAGTTCTAGCTTTTGGAAAGTTTGGAATCTCATTCATGGCTGGGGTCCAGAGATGGGGTAAAGGCTTAAGCACAAGAAGCACAGAATAAGTGATATCACAAGCCACACTGCAGAAGTATTCAAGAAAAGATAAGAAAATATATATATTAAAAAAAAAAAACAGAAAGAAGAGCTGCTGAAAGAATTATCAGCAACTAAGTTGTTTTGGTGTTTACTTGTCTCCTTTGAAGGTTTTACAAAAATGTTCATGGGTCCTCCATTCGGCTTGTTGAATTTCTCTTGTCCAATCTTGCCTCTCAAATGCTCCCAAATGAACTTTACATCATATAAGAATTTTCAAAATAAATTTTACAGTTGGAGCTTAAAATCCAGGTAGAACACAATCTCCTTCGAGCATAGCCCACTATCCCAGTATGCTTAAGCTTAGGTCATCAACCAATAAGCATCATAACTAGCAAGCAGCCTATGCTGAGAACAAAGTGAAGTACAAATATTAGAAACACCTCCAGGAGGATTCTTTCACCAACTGCGCTTCTCACATGGAAATGCTTCATCTAACATATATAAGCAATCCTAAGAGAAAGGAGAAGGCCAAACCATAAATATTTTGCACCTCGATATTGTTTAAAATAATAACTCTGTAAGCTTTTTTCGATCCTTTTATGTGTATAACCAAAAATTTCAAGCCAAATGATGCACCTATGTATCATACAGCTATGAAGTCGTTCCAGATTTTTAGGTACTAATAATTGACACATGTTCATCCAATATTGTTTGATAATTCAAATGTCTATAAAGTTATCCTATCTTCATTTGATATATCTTAAAAAAATAAGCATGAATCATGCAGCGCCAAGAAACTATGGTGGAAAAGGCCTGAATATAGGAATTATGTAGAATTTTCACACAGTTAATAAAAAGTTTAAGATTTTAGCTTTGAAAATATGAGGATACGAGAAGGCAGAAAAAATAAGAGAAGCAAGATAGGAAGGAAAGAGAATTTGGCATTTCTCTGACACTTCAAATCAAAACCCAGTTTCATTCTCCCAAAATTGTCCTCCTAATGTTATTGCATAGAGTACAAGACTTGTTCAATGAAAGATTAAAGGAGCTATGCAACTTAACCAATAAAAGACCTCACCAGCTAATGAACTTAAAAGTGTACAAAGTCAAGTTCAACTTGACTACTCTAAGACATAGCCTTGTTTTTACTTTAATATTTAAAGACAAGACTCCAACAAAGCTCTAATTCCTAAGTCATTACAGATGGCCAAAAGAGACTTCAAGTCCTTTCAACCTGGCCTAGCTTAGAAACTGCAGAGATCATAAAAACACCCTCAATATTCTAACCTAAAAAAGAGAAATCTAACACCACTTAAAAAAAAACTACCATGGGCATCTTCCTTTGGACCAAAACCTTCTCCTTTTTGATACAATTCTGCTATTAATTTTTCCAAGGGATTCTTCCTTTTCCCTATGCAGAATAGCAGCTGCATCATTAATCATTTAGAATGATGCAAGAGTTACCACTGAACTTTATTCTGTAGTTTTTTTTTTGATTATTCATATGCCTTACATTCTGTCTGTTAAATCATGGGTAACCAATAGCAACTTGACCATAGGTCAACCCAATGACATGGTGATTACTTCTCAAATCTGCCACAAGCAATGGTAGCATCAGCCATCACAGACTATGGAAGCACTTATTTCTTGTTCAAGTAACTATTCATTTCAGGACTTTATTTCCAATAGAGACAATAAGTCAAACAATAAACATAAACACAAAGAAACCCCTCCCAGGTACCAAACCAGTCCACTATTTTAGCCCTATGAACCAAGCAAAGCTCAACTAAGATATGTAACTAAGTCTCCTATCGTATTGGGGAACATACAAAATTCTGGAAAACAATTGGCTGGGAAAGAAGGCTATGAAGATGACATAAATGAAACTATTAGGAACTGTTAATGTTACCAGCACATTCAAGGAACCGTTAATGCTGGCAGCGCATTCAAGAATAGGAACATAACCTGGTTTGCAAGAATCCCAAGCATAGTTTCCCTATGATCTTCCATTGAAACATGTGTGGTACTGAAACCAGAGGCAGCCCTTGCAAGGTGAAGAGCATCACTTTGGTTCTCAATCCCATACTTGCAACAATCTTCTGCCAACTTTCTAGCTGCCAAATTCAGGTTAAGTTTTGTTACATACCTAGCAATTGAAGTGACTTAAGATGAAGGGCAGACCAACTCACTTATCTCCATCTGCTTTTTGCTTATTGAAATAAATCCTTCTACACCACGGACGATATCCCTCTGCAAATGCTGTGCAGCATAACATAGTTTATATTTTACTATGTAAAATCTTCTTATATATGTAGACTGATGTCATAATCCATGAATAGAAGGAAAATACCCAGATAAACCAAAAACAGCCCAATGAGGTACCTTAGCAGTTCTTGTAGATTTGTACAAATTTTGGAGTTGTTGGTAACACTCCATTTCAGTGTCATCAACCATTACAGCTTCATGACCCAATTGTCCTAGTTGTCTGAGAATTGCCTGATGTAGAGGATTTCTGAGCATTATTTCGCACATATATAGAAATGATTCTTACATAGTAATCATCAGAATAGAACTGAAAAGAGGTAAATTTTGGCTCCTATGAACCAACACCTAGCCAGTTTTGGCTCCTACAATGTATAGTGAATTCTGAGCATTATCTTGCAAACATTTAAGAAGAGTCGTTATGCAGTAATCATTAGAACAGACCTTAAAAAAAGATGTAAGATGTGGCTCCTATGAACCACTACATAGCAAGAAAGAAAAATTAGGTTTAGGACAGCCAAAGAAATTTTTGGAATATTATGAAACTCAAAGGAACATAAATTAGCTATTTTCCCTGTTATTTTTAGTACCACTTTGAGTACTATTTAGGCCAAGAACCAAGAAATCCACTGTATTATATAAGTTGTGGCTTCTTTGTTCGGGTTAAAGTAAAGAGAGGAATCTCTCCTCATAGGGCAGCGTAAGAATTTATACATCAGAGTGGACCAAAATGAAAAACAAACTCATATCTGAAGACCCTCAGGAGTGTACCTGTAGCTAAACTGCTTCCTGATACCAAGAAATTCTCAGTCTCAAATCCCACAACACCATTAAATGCTAAATAGTGCGAACAGCAATCCAATACCCTAAAACCTATTAAATGACCGTTGACTTAAAAAGAGAGCTATCAGATAATAGATCCTTCAAAAGTTTTTAAGAAATGATGGAAGATAGTCAAGTTGATGAAAAAACTGGCAACTAAAATTTCAGTATTAGTGGCAAAGCTGTCAATCATGCATTCAAAAGTATTTTAAACACTAGATAGATATACTACGGTCTCCATCCTGCTTGAGAACGAAAAGTACAGGTTATGTTGCTCAGTTAGTTTTCTACTTTACTCTCCTTTTTTTTTTTTTGCGCTATCTATCATGTCAAAAAATGACTTCAAGAATAAAGTTATAGGATTATAAAGGTAGAGAAGATTAAATAGCAGACAGTTAGGTAATGTAAGGAGATGGTGGATCGATGTGGTCAAGTTGTTTTCATACAATCATTTGAAGTAAAAAGCACAAAAAAAGAGGTAGCCACTGTCTGACATGCATGGCTCCAAGCATAACAAAAAGGCACCTCCTTCCGGTGAAATAAAAAAGAAACAAGAAAAAGGTCCAACCTGAGAATGTATCGCCTACCTAGAAAGCTTGTCCAAAAATATAACCCATGTAGACTAAAAACCCACACAGAACAATAAAGCTGGGAAATGGTGCTGCGTCTGTTTGGATGTTATTGGTTTACGCCAAGGAGGGTTTTAGACATCATGTTTTGTTGCAGATGGCAGAGTGTATAAAAGAAATGGAAAAGCCTGGGAATTTGCTGCACTTTCTGTGTTTTTGCAAGAGTAATATAGTATGAAAGGAATTTGGCAACTTTACACAGTATACAGCTACCTCCACGTATTCTAATATACTGGATTTTGTTTTATGTTCTTGTGGGGAAGGAACTCATTCCAATATGCATATTGGATGAACTTGAGCAGTTTGTGTATTTTGTGAATAATACCTTACTGTTCTTATCAGATAAGGAAAAACAGCCAGAAACGACTTCTAAAATAGCTATTTGTACTCCGCAAAACAGTAAAAACAGATTAAATATTCTTTATAAAACATTGTAAATCATGGATCAGTCCAGTGAAACTAATGATCTGAGCTCTATATGCTGGCTAACAGGACCTTTGTTTTTACACCAATGGCAGAGTGGTGTTGCTGCGGGAAAATACCTTCACCAAGCATCAAAATCTACTTGGAGGCATTATATTCTCCCCACACAATTTTTATACCCTTTAGAAAATAATTTCCAACAGCCTAATGTTACCAGAATCGAAACCTTAACTGCTACATCCATCTTTCTTTTTTCCCACTATAAAGCATCTGTATCATTCTAACATAGTGCAGATATAGACTCAGCATGATACAATTTTTCAGCAGGGACCAGGTAAGACAAAGCAAAAAACTATGAAAATGAAATGCATTGTTAACTGGATGTTTTCCACCTACAATGCCTAAATGTAACTCACAAACTTATGAACCGAAAACTGATCTTCGTAGCTTGTCCAGAACAAAGCTTAGAGCAGCTAAAATCTAAAGATAGCTTACCATGCAATAATTGACTAACTGATAGAGATAAGTGGCAAAAATCCACTAAGGTTTATAGGAGGCGTGGGATGTGTCGAATGCCCTAGCATTGATTTGGCATGCTTTTGATGACAAGGAACCAACTTGGGAGTTGGTTTGAATCCTATTGAGTTCGTTTTCTGATTTTCACCAGCAAGGGTATTTTAGTAATTTGGTTAGCTGCAGGAATTTTATGTTTATGGTAATTTTCTGTTTAGTAATTTTTTTGGTAATTAGTATTTTAGTTGTTATGGGGAATAAGAAAGCTTAGCTTTCTAGCTTTCTACTAGAATTCTATTCTAGTTAGGAGTCCTAATGAGGATTGGAGTTGGCTTTGTTCCAGCATCTATAAATAACCACTTCTCCATAAAGAGAAGTCAGATTTTATCGTTAATAAAATTTTCTTGCAGACTCAATGTCTTTCTTAGGATTGTGTGATACATCCTAACTTTAGGTGTGATGCCTAAAGAGTCCTCGGAGTGATTGCTAGAATTACTAATCAGATTTTAATCTTCTTAAGCATATATTCTCATTCTATTCCTAGTAGCTATTTCAACTTCGGGTGAAATTCGATATTTAGGTTTTTCTAAAAAGCTGTTGTGCCCACCAAGTGTTGTGCTGCATCACTAACAGACTCAAAATTATGGCCCCATCTGAATATTATCCTGGATCCATCCCTATTTAAATTATGCAGCCAATGAAGTCTCTACTGTGCTACGCAAACAAACAACCATTAAAAATCTATGCAGGACTTCTGTATCTAATTTTTTGTTTGTTGATTCCACATGTTCGTTTTGGATTACTGCACGCACATATTTACAGCATTTAATACAAAACCCATATTTTCCAATCAAATTCAGCATCAAAAACCATGGAACAGCTTGACATACCAAGACATTTGTCACTAGTTACCAATTATATAGTCCTATCATATCCACAAAATTTTAGAAATTGGAGACCATATTAAAACACTTATTTCCAGGCAAAAAGGCAACACTGACCAGGATAAAATCCCATTAAAAATATTTTCAAATTATTATCCTCTTTAAAGGACAAAGAATATTCATAAAATAGTGACTGCCTTTTTCACATAAGCCAGCATTACCCTTCTCTTTCCAACTCATTCTATCATTGTCCCTTTTGTAATCAGAAATCCCAACAACTAACTTAACCAAAAATTTATTGCTCAAATTATATTAGGAGTATTACATCAAGCTCAACCAGTATGGAAAAAAGACTAAAGAATAAATACAAATACATAAGAAAACTAAAATAATCATCAAAAAAATCAGATACAAAGGGCAATTGAACTCTAAATATAGATAATAAAACTCCACCCCCAAAACCAAGAAAAACCCAGAAAACAAACTCAATTCTGCTAAATTTAGACTAAACAATTCATTTCCTCCCACACAAAAATATACTTGAAAACCCAAAAAATAAAAACTGCATAAATTCAATAAATTTTTTAGGAAAATAAAAGGTACCTGCTGCTGCCTAGCCACCTGTTCTCTTAATTTACTTGCTTGCTTCTTTATAGCATCCATTTTCAATCTTTTCCCCTCAAGGCCTGAACCTCCCTCTGTATCACAAGACCTCCAAATTCTCCCCAGAAAAAAGAAATTAAAACCTCTGTATCGACTATCTATGCATATATTAGTATTGCCCACCAACCAAAATTCAAAAGACAATGAAAAAAAAAAGGAAGCAAAGGGTCTCTGAAGAAGCACAGAATTTGGGGAGATAAAGGAGGGGGAGGCCTCAATATTCCACTGCAGTTGTTTTTACCTGGAAAAAAGTGGGTGATGGAAAGTTCCAAGAGAAAAAGAGCCAATCAGTGGAGTCAGAATTGGGGGCATAGAGAATACAGTATAAAAAGGTTCGGTGGCTTTAGGACAGTAGAAAAGGGAAATAGAAAGTCGAAAAGGCCAAAAGGGTCGGTGACTCTGCGAAAGTGATTGGAGAGAGAGAACTTAGCTGCTCTTGTAATGCTTACATTAACCGGTCGGATCTGAATTTAAATTTAAAATTTAATTTCAGTAGTGAATGCATAATAATTAATTTAAATTTAAATTTAAAATTTAATTTTTGTATATGTATAATGTATTTAATAAAATTATTGAATGCATAACTACCCATTTAAATTCAAATTTAAAATCTAAATTTTATATATGTATCATGTATTCAACTATAATAGTGTATTACCTTTATATTTTGACTCTTAAAATAAACAAACCCTTTTAAAGTTCTCGAGGTCTCTGATTTGGACATTTTCCATGTTTGGATTGCTATTTTCTTAGAAAAAATTTTAACGTTGTCCATGAACAGATTTCTAATCACCTTTTTACTTCACATACATTACATTGCTATATTATATTTTTTTACAAAAACTTTAAAAAAATATCAATCCAAATTGGGATCTTCTATTTACTTTATATAATTTGTTAGTACTAGTGTCTTGTCCTCAAGTCTAGATACATCTTTGAATGGTTTTAAGAGAGAATGTTCTGGTTTGGGAGAAATAATGTAGTTGAAATATATATATACACACACACACACACATAAATTAAAACATGTTTTACTATCTATACTTGTCTATGTATCCAATTATGGTTACAATCATTTTCTACAAGTTCTGATAAATAAGATGTAAAATTATCTATTTGATTTGTTATTTCTTCTATGAATTCTGATTCTTCTTCTTCACTATCTATGTCTTGATTATCTTCTAAGGACACTATACTATAAATACTTTCTATGTCTAACATATGTTCATCTCCTTCTATTAAGTTTTCATTGACAGTTTCTCCTAGTTGGCTTTATCTATTGTATAGATTTTTCCTTCGTGGATAATTTGTTGCTAAGTGATCTGGTTCTCCACATGCATAACAATGTAGTTTATTTGTATATTTCCTATTTGGTCTACATTTTCTAACATGTTTTTCTTTTTGTAAGTATCATTTTCTAACTCTAGATTTTCTAAGATAATATTTTTTCTAGCGATACATTTTGTTTTATATTTTTTGAGTTTCTTTACAAACTTAGAGTACAGATAAAAAATTGGAAATATGAAGTCGAAACTATAATAGACACATGATGTACAAATACAGTTTTAAACAGTGCAATAGTACCATTAGATTACCATACAAATGCCTCAGAGGTTGTAGCAGCTAGACAAATGGATGGTAAATTTTATACTTATAGCACAACAGTAAAACAGGTAAATTTTAGATTTAAACATAATGATTCATATAGTACTCCTTATTACTTAGAAGAAATATATATATGACCCATAAGATTCTAACTTATAATGGGACTAGACTTCCTACTTTACTATTATCACGGTATGATATTAACTAGAAAAGGTATTACTATATTTAAAGAATCTACCTTAGAAATAATATCAAAGTTACGAGAGAAGCGTGGTGGGACTAATCATATGGAAAAATATAGACAATTAGATAAAAATATAGACAAATTTTTAGATATAACCCAAAGGAAAATAATAGAAAAAGAATGCAACTGTAAAATACCAGATCAATGTAAAGAACTTCTAGAAGAAGACTTAGGATTAAAATTAGAAGAAATTTATGATGAATTAGAAATCTGTATGGAACTTATAGAAAATGAAAAAAATTATAATTTACTAGAAATAGGAATAGAAGAAATTGATAAAATTATAAGTAAATTAGAAAAATTGGAAATATTAGGAGAAATGTGACGCCCCGAAAAGAATAAGAGTGAGAACCCGGAAATTTTCTAATTTTCTAGGGTTTATTTTATTTAATCGCCCGCCTTTTCTACATTTTCTGTATTAGAAAAATTCCCCAGATAAAGTTTATGAGCAAAGATAGTTTTAAAATGATTTTTCTAGTATCGGTTAGTTTTTGAGAAATTAAGAGCGTATTTTGAACGTGGGACCCGCAAGTGCGGTAAATGCATTATATTTTTGACAACTTGTTGGAATTTTGTATTAAGTGATATTATTTTACAAGGTGTTAAGATATTTGTATTGGAGAGACAAAAAGATAAGTTTTGAACCAAAAGGTGACAAGTGTCACCATAAGATTAAGTCTTGAGTTTGACTACTATTCATAACTTTACCATTTAATTCAAATTGGCCCAAAAATCACTTCATTTTGCAAGCTTCTTGGCCGAATGTTCTTGCTCAAGAAAGAAAGAAAAGCTCTCAATTTCTTCCTTCTATTTCTTGCTCAATCTTCAAATCTAACCAATAAAACTCCGAATCATTCCATAAAATCTCTTTGCTAAGTGGTCTTGAGGTATTTTGTGGAGTTGTTTGGAAAGCTAAGGTGATTAGTTGCTCTATCTCTTGTATTGCTAAGGTGAGTTGTGAAGTACCCCTCTCCTTCCTCTAATGATGTTCAATTCATGATTGGTGGTGGTATAAGATGCAAGTTTATGGATTATTTCTTGATTTGTGGTTGAAGTGGTGAAGTTTTATAATTATTGGGGATTTTTCTGTTTTAATATGAACATGATTGTGTGGCTATCTATGATGATTGGAAATGGTATGTAATGATTCTAGAAGGTGGAAAAAGTGGACAATTGCAATCAATTTCTGTTTTGGAAGAAATTTCAGAAAATTAGGTTTTGTGAAGGAACATTCTGCCCGAATTTTTAGCTCCTAGTTAGAGGCCGAATTGGCCTTGTCTTAAAACATGAAAGTTGTAGGGAATGATATTTTAGAGGTGCTTACAAAATTTCAGGTCAATCGGAGCAGCGTAGCTTGTGAAAAGTCGAAATTACCCTTACTGTTCTGGTTTTACCCGAATGTAAGAATTGCGCCTGTAATTGGTTGTTTTGGCTGGAATTGCTTCCGAATTGGTTGTTAAGGCCTTCTGATGAAATGTAACCCTGTTTCTTAGCTTTCAGCTGGTTTTGGAATTTCTGGATTTGGACTTGGATAGCCTGTTTTATGATGTTTCCGCTAGAATGCGTTCTGTGAATCTGTTTTTGTAATTCTGGTATAGTATCTTGCATTTTTGACCTGGTTACACTCGAAACTGGGCTGACCTTCTGAAATATTGTAGCCCTATCTCTTAGCTTCGAAACGGTATATCTTTCACCTTCATCCGACAATCGTAGCGCCTTTGGTACCATTACCGCAAAATGACGTCAAAACTGTTTTTCTGGTTTTGAGCTTAACTTTCATTTCCGGACTTTTCCCTACCTTGACTTGTACTAGTACTACTTGGAGCTTGCTGAATGGCTATTGGATGAACTTGTTGATGTGTGTGTATCTTTGGGACTGGCTGAGGAAATAATGAAGCCATGATGGCTGGAAAAGTTAGCAAATTCAGGGGAAGTGTTGTCCGAACTTTGAAGGGATTTGTTTGCAATTGAGTTTGTGATCTAAGACTTGGATTTGAGCAAGGCAATGTTATATGCTGGATGATTTCTGAGCCATGGAGGTGAGTGACCCTAAACTATTTCCAAAGTACTTGTGAAATGTTTCTTGCATTAATTATTCGATTGCATATCATGCGTGCTTGCATGTGAATTCATGACATGATTTGGCTTCAATGAGTTCTGGGAAAGTCTTGTGCTGGACACCAACGTCTCCACCTTGTTTATGGTTCATGTTCATGGTTATCTAGAGCACCGATGTTGCTCCCACTTTCGTGAGTTCGTGAGTTAATGTTAAATGAAATATTTGAGCGTTGGGTGTTCAAGTGCTATGATTTCACCGGCTCACGAGAGCACTAAACGGACATTTGATCTCTGAATCATGACATCATCGAAATCATCGAAATGCAACATTGTGAAATATATTTGTTTAATGATTTTCCTGATTACTCGCAGAGCTTCTAGCTCACCCCAAAAATATTTTATTCCCCTCCACAGGGCTCAAGGCGAAGGAAGGACTTGTTGTGCTTATTCATGTGTCTGGATGGCCTATATCTTGTACAGTTTGGATTTGGAATCATTTTATGTATAGTTGGGAATTGTTTCCGTTTCGCTTATGACATGTAATTTTTGGAGAATTTGATGTATATTTGTGGACCATGTGAAGTATAGTTGAGATTTATCTCGTAATTTATTTGAGGATCGTAATGAGTGAGTGAGTCCCGGCGAGAGCTGGACAGGCGGCCCGCCGAACCCTCTGGTCCGCCTTAGGGGGAGGTGGGGTCGTCACAAGAAAATCCAACAAAATTTTGGAAAGAAGATAAAATATATTGTAAATTAGAAAGCTTAAATCCAAATCTAAATTTCCACAGCAAAAATAGAAGCCAGTAATGAAGAAATAAAAGAATTTTGAAATGCACATAGAAAACCTTAAAAAATTAGGAGTAATAAGAAGAAGTGAAAGTCCACATAAAAGCACAACATTCATAATTAATAAACATAGCGAAATTGCTAGAGGAAAAAAGTAGGATGGTAATTAATTATAAAAGATTAAATGATAATACAAAAGAAAATAGTTATGATATACAAGACAAAACCAACTAATTAACAGAATACAAGATAAATATATATTTAGTAAATTTGATTGTAAGTCAGGATTTTGGCAAATCAGAATGCATCCTGATAGTATAGAATGGGCAGCTTTTACCTGCCCATTAGGACATTTTGAATGGTTAGTTATACCTTTTGGACTTAAAAATGCACCTGCAGTATTCCAACGAAAAATAGATAATATATTTAGTGAGTATAGTGAATTTGTATTTGTAAGGATCGAAAACAACCTAAGAGGGGGTGAATTAAGTTGATTAAAAATCTAATTAAGTTATGAGCACTTTTTGCTCAATATGAAATTTACCCTCTTTTCTAAGTGATCACACAATGAATCAATTAATGAATGAATATAATCACTTGAGAGAAGTAGAAGAGATAAGCAATGTAAAGATCACAAACGTAACAATAAGTAAATAAAAAGGAAAGA